AAAAAAAAAAAAAAAAAAAAAAAAAGAGCAGAACTGCAAATTCATACTTGGATCTCTATACTATGCCTCTGTGGGAAGAGAATGTGTGTCACTGCCAGGGCCTCTGCTGGCCCCAACATGCTTCAGTGCAAATTAGAGAAAGACACCCCCCCCTGCACTTCCTGAACCAGGGCTTGTGGCTTCCAGGGCATGAGCCAGAGTTCAGCACCCTCCTGTCCTCGTGGCTGAGTACTCTTGGGCAGTGCCCAGCCTGAACGACTGTGTGTGGCAGCCCATGCACTGTGTTCCATAGGTCAACCGCTCAGACGTTCCCATAGGAGGAGATGAAAATGCTTCCCCACAGGGGTTGAATGTAAATGTCCCCAGCACTTCATGGCTGCTCTTTACTGGTACTGGCCACTTGCCACATTCTGTTCCCTCAGATCACTGTCTCCGGAAAAGGAGTCATCTGGGACCCACCAGCCTGCACTGAATCAATCTGGCTTTGCCTTACACACACACACACACACACACACACACACACACACACACACATACATACATACACACACACAGGCATAATGATCGATTGCTTAGAATGAGTTCCTCTAGGATTACCTTTTTTTCTCTAAATTAGTTTTTTCTTTAAATTTAACCTTCAGTTTTGAGTCACTTAGTTGGCTGTTGCATCAAATGATTCTTTGGTTTTACAGGTTGCCTCCCAGTGATGCCAGATGGGATCAGTACAGCCCCAGGTGCCAGTTGCTAATGCCTATAAAATACCATCTTCCCCAAAGGAGAATCATTTAAGAGTTCTTTGGACTTCATCTTCAAAAGTAGCCAAAGAATTCAAGTGACAGGTTATCCCAGAAAATCTTTTGCAGTTAGTGAACTTAGGGTATCAGTAAGAATATTCAGAATACCACACACACAGTTTAGGTGATCTTGGTATAGTGGTGGGACAGCAGTGATTATAAAATGAAAGTAAATAACATGTACATGCTCTGTTGGGGGGACACTAGAGGGAAACAGGTGTTCAGCCTAGAAAATCATTTCTCAGTGGATTTCCTATGAAGTCAATGTGTCTTGGGTTTAACTTTGAAAAAAAATTAAAATTTTAAAACCTGGAAAAAAAAAAGAAAGGAAAATGCAAGACTTTGTCATGAGGAAGGAAGAGAGAAAACTATATATATATATATATATATATATATATATATATGGCCTATACTGATATAGCACTTTTCAAGTGACAAGCACACTGGCATATGTGATCTCTCTTAATCCGCAAAACAGCACTGCATGGCACCAAGGGAGGCATGGTCCCAGCACCACCCCTCTCACCTGCAAGAAAGCTGAGGCCCCAGCAAATGAAACAACTTGCTCATGTAGTCAAAAACAGACACCAGCAGCTCCCAGGTCTCATAATGCCTGGGAGATATTCCTTCTTCTACCTGTGGTTTTCAATTCTATCTGCTGCCTGTCTGCCTGCATGCCTATCTATCTATCTAGCTAGCTAGCTATCCATCTATCATCTTCCTTCCTTCCCTCCCTCTCTCCCTCCTTCCTTTACAGTAGAATCTCAACTTTTTTTTTTTTTCAAGAAAAAAGTTCCCATGGATGAGCAAAGCTGCCTTAGTTGAATTTAGAGAAAGGTGCAAGCCCTACCTTCTCATCTTCCCTCCTTATCCCAGTAGCAGCCCTTGAAGCCCCTCTGAAGGACTTTAAGAGTTTGAAAACTCTGCCCTGTATTAAGCTGTTCCCCTAGTGCACCACATGTTACTCTTGTGGTCTCATGATCCAAAAGCACAAGGATTTTATTTCCTCCATATAAGCTCTCCTTGTTAAGCATGGTTAACTTACTGACCACACACACACACACACACACACACACACACACACCATCCATTCTTGCTCTTCCTCCCAGAAGGCACTTCGTCCATAAAAGGAGCCATCCAAACAATCCTCCCTCCTAGCCCAGGCCTTTGGCTCTCTGCAAGGGTTGTCAATTTTGGCTTAGAAATGAATGGAATTCCAGAGTTCAAGATGAGCAGGATGGTGTATGTGAATGATGGCTTCCTCCAGGAGGAGAATTAGAGCTAAAATCCCAGGCCAGTCCAAGAGAAAGCTAGTTCCCATTTTGCTAGCTAGTTTCCCGGGGAGGGAGGCAGAATTATTACCAAACAGTCCTGCCTGCAGCCTGCTCCCTGCCAGGTCGCCCCAGCATCGCCTTAAGGGCTGAAGGCGGGCTGCACCCAGGGCAGAGTGAACACACCACACACCGTGTGTGCTCACAGCTCTAGGGGAACGTGCTGCTGGATGGGGGCATGGCAGGAAGCCCGCAGGTGGTCTCTCCAGGGCAGGTCTCTGCGCCCAGGATCCTCCCAGCCCCATCCCGAGGCTCCGCAACGTGACAACCCCTCCCTGTGTCTCCCGCTCACACCCCTCCTCCTGGGGTAGGAAACAGATCTGAGAAGGGCCACATCCAGAGTCTAGAATGTGTCAGATCCTACATGCCATGATTTCAGCCCCAAATCCAAACCCTATGTTGATGTGAGCACAGTGAAAGGACCATTGACTCCCTTTCCAGCCACCCTTCCACACGACGAGAGAACACAGGCGGCTCTCTCACCTTTTACATACCAAGAGGACAGGGGATTGGTTTGTGGGGAAAACAGAGAGGCAAAAAACTAGCCTGGGAAACAACAGCAAACCACAGCTCTCTCCACAGCACAGCTGCTGATTCCTGCTTTTCCATGATGTTTTCTCCTTCATTTTGCCAGAAGATTACAGGAAGATCTCAAAACTTGAGTGCTGAGTTTGAGATTTATTGACAGCAAAATATAATAACAAAAATCATGATGCCAACTAAAACCCTGGTTGACTCATGTCAGAGGAGAAGGAAAGTGGGTTTACGAATAATAAGCCAAAAATGGATTTCTAACACGTAATTTTTCAGAAGCTTAAGGAAAAGAGGTCTGTGCTCCTTTCAACAGCCTTCTGCACGGAGCGTAGGCAAGAGCTGCGCCCAAAGAGAGAAAATAAGCGGCCAAGGAGGAAAAGACCCATGTCTGTTTGAACAAGTGGCAAAGGACAGGCACCCTGCAGGGATTAGAGGGTTTAAAAATTTTAAAATAAAAGGAAGAAAGGAAAAACATACAATGTACTGGTTTGGAGAGAAAGTTCCATCACCAGTTAGAGCAGGTGGGCCGCGAGGAGTGGGCCCGGGCCGCTCGCTGCCAGGGGCTGAGAAGAACACAGCAGCGAGCCAGGGAGAGGGAAGCCGGTTTCAGGAGAGGGGGTAAGTGGTGCCCCAAGGGTCAGCTAGGTCAGGAACCCAGACCCAGGGCCAGTGGGTGGTGAATGTCAAGAAACAGAAAGTAATGCGTGTGAAATCTGGGTACCAGCCAGCCCAGAGAAGCCAAAGAAGACATCTTTAGAAAGATGTTTCTTTCTAAAAGAGACATCCCAGGAACTATTCTTTTAGAATAAGCCATGCTCCCATGTAGGCTCGGGTGGAGCCGAAGGACGAAGCGGGCAAGAGAATGAGATTCATCCCGGAATGGGGGTGAGAGGGAGAGGGGCCAACTGCACGCATGAGGCAACGAAAAAGCAGAAAACAATTTTTGCAGCTGAGATTTGGGTCAGGTGATCTCTTCACTCCAAGGGGCAGAGAAGTCCAATTTGCACAAATACCCCTCCAAGGCACCTGAGCAAGTAACAGAAGGTGCTGACCTTAGAAATCACGTTCAGGAAGGAAAGAAAGCAGCGTTGCTGGGGTGGGGATTGGGCCTGGCTGCCTGGTACAGCAAGGTACTTACTTACAAGACACCGGCAAGTAAGAAAACACAAGGGGGAGCGGTCACTGGGCTGGAGGCACCAGGCAGTTTACTCATGACATACAAGGAATTCTCTCTGATGGGATGAGCCCGGGAGGATGGAACCAGCAAAGGGTCCAGACCACGGCTCTGTCCACTTACAATGAACACAGGGCAGCAGGGGTGTTAAGGAATTGGGGGAAATAAAGAAACCAAGCCCTGGCTGGGCTGTCTGTCGTTGCCAAGAGAAGCTCAGGGAAATGATGAATGACACTTCTATCAGGGATGCTGAGGGGAGGATAACTCTTGCTTTGTGGGCTTTGCACATGCTGTTCCCTTGGTCTGGAATGCCCTTTCCCTGCTTCCCCTGACTCTTACTCTTCAAGCCTCAGCTTAGGCATTTCCTTTTCCAGGAAGCCTTTCGAGGCTTTGCTATTCCTCCCCCTTCCACCCAAGCTGGGCTAGGGGCTCCCATGCTACCCAGCGCTTACTCCATGCTTGCGCTGACCGTGCTGTTTACTAAACCGGTTCTCTGCTAGCAGTGACTTGCCTGTTGTTCCTATCATATTGACAGGCCCTAGTCCATTACCCAGTGCAGTGCAGGGCTCCATGCAGACTTGTTGAGTGGATGAATAAATGTGTGAGTAGGAGCTTGGAGCAGGGCAATTCTGGGGCTCCCTGGTTCTAAGTACCCAAGATCCTGGAGTGGACTCCAAACCCTAAGCTCCCCAGGACCCTCCTCATGGGCCACTGAGAGCCACATCCAGCCCAGTCCTGCTCTCCACACCAGGTTCCAAGCCAGAGTGCCTAGCGCTGCAAAGCTCTGTGCTGGGGGCTATGGTGGTGACTGCCTGGGGCTAACAGACTGCTTCCCCTGCCCTGGAGCTAGATCTCAGGACGGAAGCGGAAGGATAAGGTGACCGACTGTGAGTCTGCTCAGGAGGCAGCCCCTCCAGGAAGCCTGGCAATAAGTCGGGAGAATTCTAGGGCTGGAGCCCCGGGGAGAGGCTTGCTCAGAGCACAACCAACAAGGACACACCATATACCTTCCAAGGCTATTAGGAGGATTACATAGAAGAATGGGTAAGAAAGTGCTTTGTAAATTGGGATGTGATGTATTGCGGGGAAATGGGTTTGGGATCGGCGTCTTCAGACCAAACTTAATACCTAACTACTCAGAGAAAAATGTAGAAAATCAGAGCTGAGGAGTAACTACAGAGACGGGATGCTTCCAAATGCTGTGAAACTAGAGGTGGAGATATCGCTTAGGATGCCCCACACTGGCTCTTCTTTCCTCCCTTGGATGGGCTTTGTTCAACAACCAGAGAGTGTGATGCTGGAAAATATTTCCTTGAACGGAAATGCACGGACTCTCAGTTTCACTGTAGCAGCAAGATATGTACTAGTATAAAAACGCAGAGGTTTAAGAAGAATTGAGCTCCTCCTCACCCTAGAAAGTCCTTACTTTGCTTGGACACTGCCACTGGCCATCTGTTCCCATCAGGGATCCTGAGGCCAAGGGAGTCTCAACCAAATAAGCCACATTCTGGTGGCCACTTCATTTCTGATACGCTTTTATACCAAAGTGGGAACTAGGTAACCTCCCTGAGGGTTGGGGAGAATAGCTTTGCCAAAAACACTGCATAAAAAAGAATTAGGCAATTCTAAGCCACTCCATGTTATCTAGCTTCTTCCAACTTTTCTAAAACACAGCAGCCTTTACAGATCCACACAATAACTCCAAGGTCCTCTTTCCCAGCAACCACTGTAGAGCCCACCAGAGAAAGTCACCCACGTGTGCTGGTAAATGTTCAACAGCTAGCTCTTTGGCTGGGAAAAGAAAAAGATCAAAGGTCTTAGTGTTTGCCAATTTCTGTGGTATAAATACTCCCACCTTGGCTGATCTCGAGCTACCAAGGTGAAGTCGCTGAAGGTGAAGTTGGGAAGAGATGCTGATACATGCTGCCCCAGCACCACTGGCTCTAAGACATGTGTTAACACCCATCCTGGCTTCCTCTGGACACAAGCTGGAGATGATCACTCCACACCTACCTCTCTCAAAGGAATTTTTGATGTCATTGACTTCAACCTGGGATCCTGGCACTCTGAAGATCCCTTGCTGCTGGAGTCCTAAAGGAAAGAAACAAACAAAAAAAGAAAGAGAAAATGCCTTGAGCTCATCAGATCACTGGGAACACGGAAGACTCTCCCCACTGCTTGCCTCTTTCTCCCGCCATCCTTTGTAACAGAGTCATTCCCAGTGACCGTCTCCTGGCAGAAGCCCAAAAGGAGCCTTTGCGAAGAACTTCAGCTGGTCCAAATACTCAGTCACATTCTGCTTCATATGTCTAGGGTCTCTTGTTTGGGCTTGAAGGAAACAAGAAGTTTCTATCAACACTGGACCAGTGAAGGACTTCCACTTTAACCCACAGGTCAGCTCAATCAGATAACTGGGTAGTGAGTGAATGCTGCCTAGTGCATTCATCAGTTGCACTGGTCCCAAGTAGCTTGGCCTGAGTTTACAAATGCCATCGGAGTTTAACAGCCACAGAGACTCTGAATGAGAATGATTAATGCCACTCCCTCAACCATTCCCTCGCCCATCACAGACAACGTCTTCCTTCAAGAAAATCTAGAGTCTAGAGTGCATGCTGGCTTGGGGTCATGGAGTTTGGGGGACATCAACTCATTGAAGAAGGACAATCTCATTTTTTATTATCTGTTTCTACAAGGCCTTAACAAAGAGGAGACCTTGATACCTGACACAGCAGTAACAACAAAACAGCGACCTATAAGATCGAAGGAATTAGAGGGCCTCCCTCATCTGAAAAGGGAATTAAGACTGGGATCCTTTCCCTGAGATTCAGTTTTTCTATATGAAACAACTCTCTACTTTATAATTCAGGAAAGTGCTTACCCTTAAAGGCAGGCTTTAGTTAAAGTTTGGTTTGTACATATAGTATGTGCTCAGTAAACGTTGTTCATTTCTTTCGTGCTGAATTTCTACCACCTCTGTCTCTTACCCCATCCTCCTGGCTCATTCCCGTCCAGTTATGCCGGCCTTCTTTTCCCATATTAGGCCTTGACACTTGTCATTCTCTCCACCTGGCTGGCTTCTTCTACTCAAATATCACCCCCTCGGAGATGGCTCTCCTCACAACCTTAGTCAAAGCACGCCTTCCCTCCTCTAGCCATTCTCTATCCCCTTTAATTAGTTCCTTGGCATTATCACTATCTGAAATTGTATTATTTGTCTCTCTGCTTGTTCATTCCCTTGCCCTTCTAATTGGTCATGTAAGCTACCTAGGGCCAGCATCCTACCTGTCTGGTTCATGGCTATGCTGCCATTGTCAAAAACAGTGCCTGCTATGCACTCTGGAAATATATTTTTGGAGGGATGAATAAATGAACAGATGGAGGCACAATTTAAGTGCTGGGGACACCATGTGGCAAATCCCAGACACTCTATTTCCTCCATGGAGCTTACCACAGTCTAGCAGGATTAACTGATCAGTTGACCAACCTCATTCGGCGCCCAAAGTGCAGAGCTCTGGGCTCGAGTGGGAGCAAAAAAGGAACTAATACAGTTGTCCCACGTGCCCTCCCTGCTCCTCGGTTCTCCTAGCTCCTGGGTCTTCTCACCACCATCTTCAGTTCCCCCGACACACAAGGCTCAACAGACAGCACTCAAGATAGCAGCTGTTCTATAGAACGTTTTCCCTCTCAGAAGCAGAGCAGCAACAGGAAATCTTCCCAGACGAATTTGAATCTCATTTCTTATGAGAACAGCCTAGCACCTGTTCTGGAAAGACCTGAAAACACTGTCCTGAGATCGAGCTTACCATATAAATTGATGTATCTGATGCAGCTCTCGACGACCAGTGGTATAGCTTGTCCTGAATCCTTAAGAAAAGAAGTTGTGAGTTGTATTGGACTTGGCAACCACCACAGGAGAGAAGACACTGCAAACACAGATTATGAACTCAAGCCAGAAAATTAGTACCATCAGATTAGTAGGAAAACAAGCAAGGAACCACTAATTCTAAAGTCTCTACAAACAGTTAAAATAGAAAGTCTTCTGTGATTGCAGAAAAGCCATAGCTGTGATCATTTTAAAGAAATGCTCTGTCTTCCTATTCAGCTGGGAAGGAATCAGGGCTCAGGAGGCCTGATAGGCATATCAGGGAAGGGGAGGGAGCCCACCGCCTGGAGGGGCTGGAATCCGCCCTCGAAGACTTCTCTGCCTCCCACTGCCCTCAGCCCCATCTCAATTCTGTTCTCCCAGCGCTCAGGGCAGGATCAAGGCCTCTGCCTAGTACTGTAGGACCCGCTGCCAGAATTAAGAAGGACACACCATGGGGGAAGCAAGGCTGGCCCCAGGGATCCTTTTGAGCTCGGAGGAGGGGAGACCAATTCTATTCACAATGTAACAACCTAAACATCCAGACAGATATTTGTTCAACAGTAAACACATTAAAAGGAAAACTTCTAGAAACAGCTAACGTCAGCCACTGACCACTGAGTGGCAACCTTAATCAGAAAGGCTGAATAAGATGCAGTTCTAAATACATGCATCTGGGGTGTGAATGTATTTTCAATTATATTTTCCTAGACTGGCCCACAACCACAGAGAGCTGGGCAAGGGATAATTTTCTTTCGGATTTCGTGACTGATTGACCTCTCTGCTATTTCAGGCCACTTACAGAGCATAAAATTTTTTAAAACCTCTCTGAAAAGGGGCCAAGTTAAGCACTAGCCTCCTCAGAAGGTGAGGAAGCAATGAGGCATATGTAATATGCTCATGTAAAGGGACAGAGAAAAAACCATGAATTTGGATGCTTTCGTGGGTCCTCCACACCCCACTTGCAAATTCTGTCCTTGATTAACTACAGTCATGGAGAAGGTAATAAAGTGGACTCATTGGCAACAGGCAAGGCGGGCCCTGTGCTACTAGTCAGGGCTAAAGACAGGCTCCATCCAGTTGAATGGGGTTGACGGACCTTTCCAGTAAATACCTGGTTCCTGGCTCGAGCATTTCTTCTTCCTCTGATAACAAAAAATAAACAGGCAGCAGAGCAGAAGAAAAAGAAAAGATTACGCAGAAGTAATAAGACCAGTTAGAGCAAGCAGCTCCTTCAGAGTCCGGGAACGCCGAAATGCAATGGCAGCCAGCGGAGGTCCGGGGAGACGGCAGGCAAACCGTGGGCCCAGTGGAGCTCCGGACCTGCCCGGCCAGCCTTCCAGGGTGGCTGCCTCGGACGCCAGGGGGCAAAGGGGCCTCTTTCAGTCCTTGTCAAAGGGCAGGAACGGTGTGTACTGAACACTTGCCCCACCCCAAGTCTAGCTTCTCCTCAACACGGGGGCTGTTTACACACCAATGGTGAGAGCCCACCTAAGACTCTTTAAGGTTAGCCCAGCCACCCACAGAAAAGGAGGGACACACGCCCTCAGGTGTCTCCTGTGACACTGGCCCTGCAAGTCAGCTCAGGAAACCTCGCTCTTAGCTCTTAGTTAACCAAGACCGTGTTTATGAGGTGCCCTCTGGACAGGACCAAACAGGATTCCATCTGGTTCCAAATTCCACACAGCTGCCCGTGCTTTCCTACCACACACCTGGGGCAGCTTGTCCCGGGTACCCACTTGGCTTTGCTTTCCTTCTGCCCACGGACCCTCACCCTGGCACTGAAAAAGCCTCAGGGAACCCAAAAGCTGACAAAGCCTGGAGGAGGGAGGGCAGTGGAGTCAGAGAGCCTTCGTGATCTTGCGGGCAGAACCGGAGGCTCTGCTTTCACTAAAGTCGCCCATTTGCAGGGGAGCACTGCCTCTTCTTTCTTCCCACACATGCAGTGGGTCAGGCTCTGGGGTGCGTGCTGTGTCTCATCCCGACTGAGAAATGGGAGGATGTGCACCTGCTTGCTGGTGTCACCTGTCCAGCCCCTGGCACCTCAGCAACTAGAATTTTCCTATGTCGACTACACCTACCTGAACCTAGGACGGCAGTGCCAGGTGATCAGACAGGGCCCCGTGGGCACTCTCCGGAAAGCCCAGGCAGCACTAACAGCTAACATTTCCATGGTGTTTACTCTGCGCCAGGCAGAGCTCTAGAACCCGGCAGGTGTTACTCATGTGATCCTCCTCACACACTCAGGAGGTGGGTAATTATCATTCTCATTTTATTGAAACAAGGTAAGGACTCCCCCTGCCCCAGCCCGAAGGTAGACCTCCTGGGCCTCAAAATTTATCATAATAAATTGGGTTTCCTTCTATCCGAGAGAAGGGGGGAAAAATCAAGCATTTTGATAAGAATCCATTCGGGTAAGGTCCTAGAGATTTATACAAGTAACTCCAACTACGTTTATCCGTCATTCTTGGGGATGCTTCCTTGTCCCTCTAAACCCTCATAATCATGGAGTCTCTGTGATGTTATTTTATTGAAAAGCCTTTCAGAGCTTTAGAATTTCAGAGCTGGGGATTCTTAGTTCACGCTGAATCTTCTTCCAGATAGCATGGGAATCATAAGAGGAAATTAAATTCCATTCCCAAAGGTTAAAGGACTGGATGCATCACAATGCCTTTTCATTTTCTGAGAGTTAACAATCCTTGAGGTTGGGGTCCTGCCGCTGCAGTCTGTCCCCACAGGGAGCTTAGAGTGGGCGCCCAGAAGAGCTGGCGGAATTGCACAGATGATGTGCGGTACAAGCACACGTGACTATAAAGAAATGCATTCGCTCAACAAACATACTTTTTTCAGTCAAACGGTCCCCTGAGGAGGCTGTGCTCTGATTTCAGCAACATGCTGCTGCCTAGTGCTCTGGGGTGTCCCTCTCTGGGGGCTCTTTTCAGAGCCAGTCCCCTAGCGCCCACTACGGCCTATGCCTCTTGCCATATTGTGGCTCCAGGGGCTACAAAGCCGGGATCTGATTGGCACTTTTCATTCCAAAGACTGGGGTGTCCGTTCTCAGACAAAGTTTTGGCGCCGCTGACAAAGGTCCTGCTGCAGGCTCTCGGAAGACTGACCAGCTGCAGCAATGGCTATATATTTAGAATAAGGATGTGGCTTCCTGGTGACTACCACCAAGGGGCAGACACTCCCGCGGTTGATGCATGGCACTCGATCGTCATGCATTTTTTTGTAGGAGCTCTCCATTCAGAGACTGTTTCACCAAACAGAACACCTAACTTGCAAATGCCATCAGGTAAGAACTCCTTCCAAGCGTCCTGACAGAGCACCCGTTTCCAAAGAGCTGAGCGTATTCTGAAAGGTGTCTGTGTCTCTGAGCCTTTGCTCATTCTGTTCCTTCTCTCAGGGGCTCCTCCGTCCTCCCCTCTGCTGTGTTCCGCCCCGTCCTTCAAAGCCGCCCGGGCCCCACTGCTCACAGTTCTTCCTGCTCTGAGCTCTCACAGAACTTATTTCCATGGGGAATCAGCCGCCAAGTGATCATCCTGAATCATCTTCCACGTTCAGCTTTCTGTCAAAAACCTCCTGAGCAACATGATAAGCTCCTTGAGGGCAGAGAGAGTAACAAATGGGCCTCAGTCCCCTCTCCGCTCTGGACTATGGCTTTTTTGAGAAGAAAGTCTTGTTGGAGAGAGGAGGGAGGATGAAGAAAGGGCTCTTGAGACAGCCCGTCTTCCCATGACCTTCTGGATGGCAAACTGCTCACTCGGGGTCACCTCCAAACAGCACCCCTTCCCTGATGCACACAGTAGCACCCTCCTTTTGGGGTCCTCCACACCTCCCTCCTCTGAGGCATCCTAGAGCAGCTGCTGCTGTTTCCCACCCCCGGGCAGTCCCAACGTGTGCCCTCCTTTCCCCCTTTCGCTTCCCCCACGGTCCCCCAGAACTCAGCTTACAGGCAGAGGGATCTAGGCTGGTCCTGCCTACCCCCTCCCATGCCTGTGGCCAACGCTCCCTGCCCAGCAAGTCCTGTGCATGCCCTATATGAGGACAGAGGATAGAGAGCCAGAGCAGGGGCAGCCCCAGCACTCCAAAAGTGTCGGCAGGGCCCGAGAACCTTTACTTTTCTCCTGACTCTTATTTTCTGCAAAGGGTCTTCGTTAGATGGGGCACGCTTCCAATAACTGTCAGGGACCTTCTGCTGTTCCCCTAAGTAATGTTCAGAATGCATCTCCCCTTCCTCAAGTATGTCCCCCACGTGCTGCCCTTTTCAACTCCATCACCATCTTAACTTGCTTTGAGCTGTTCTATCTGGGATGGCTTGATCCTGCACCCTTTGCAGCCAAGAAGTAAGAAGAGAAACTCACTGAGGTGAAAAGCTTTCTTTTTAGTTTAAGGTGTAAAGGACTAACCTGGAATTCTAAAGGGACTACCTCAGCTCTTTTCTCTTCTCCCAAACTGCCTAACAAGAAACAAAATTAGGTGGAAGGGTTGTCTCTCGTACAAATTGTATGTGTTGTGTTCCTTTGCTGGTATATTCTCAACTTTAAAAAATCACTTGTATAAAAACACAGTTACTCACAGGGCTTTTCTTTGTGTTGTTTCCAACCTGTCTCCTCTTGGGAGATGTGAGTGTGACTCAAGGCGAGGGGGTTTCTCTAAGTGTCCCTCAGGCTGGTCAGGACTGCAGTTCCTGAAGCAGTGAAGTGGGGCTGACAGGGACCACTGTCTGGCATGGATTCAGCGCCACCTGGATTTTACTGGGTCCCAGCACGATTGCAACCCTCCCCCAGGGCTGAGAATCAAGGGAAAGCACTTAGGAGCAACTGGTCAGAGGCAAAAGCAGCTCTGATTAGAAGCCCTCACTGAAGCTAAGAGCAGGCTGCCGGGAGGACCAGCTTGCCACAAGGCCTGGCCGAGGGCCTGGATTGAAAGTTCCAGTCCATCAGTCGTTGGTAGGTCGGTAGGTTGGGGCAGGGCTGTTGGCCGGGGGAGGAGGTGGAGAAAGGCTGCCATTACATTGGGTGCATTCGCGGACTCCGTGGCTCCCCAGCAAGTACCTTAATGAACGCTTCCATACAGCCGTTAAATAGTTTATGGCTACACACTGAGAGAGGCCTAGGTCTCCTCATTTTCTGTGGTTTAGGGGGAAGACAGGGGGGCCTAGGGGAAAACGGAACAAAAGAAATCAAGAAAGCAACCAAGGTAAACATACAACTGGGAAAGACGCTCTTACGACCCACGACTGGAGGAGGACACAAAATGCAAATGGAAGGCCTGAACCCCCAGCACATTGGTGTCCAATGCTCCATCTGAAGGCCTCTGGATGTTTAAGCGGGTCTTAATTTACCCACGGTGTCAGGCAGGAGTAACACAAATGTATTCTAAATCACAGGAGGGCACAGCACGTGTCCAGGAAACCACTGAAACTCCAATCAGGGCTGTCATCCCGCAAAGCTGACCAGATGGAGGGGGAATCAGGGGAGAGATGTAATCTGTAGCCCAGGAAAGCAAGAGACTTTCAAAGATGATCGGAAGGGTCAATTTTCATCATTTTGACTTAAACGCATCACCAAGTCTCAACTCCCACCATACCAGGGCACTGATCTTCCTAATGCCTCCTGGCATTTCAAATGCATTTGACTAATCTTTATTCCGTTGATCTAAGAGCCAGGCAATTATTATTCTTATTTTAGAGATGAAGAAATTGATGCCAGGAGGGAGGCTGCAGCTTCTTTGGGGTCCCCAGGGCACCCAGGATGATGATTATCTCCTGTCCTTTAGTCAAGTACACTTTCAGTTACAATGTTTTCAAATCCATTATCACACTTAACGTCAGCTCAACCCTGCACGTGTGGTCCCATTTTACAGAGGCCTAAACTGGGGCCTAGAGGGGGGGAGGTGGCAGAGCTAGGCCCCAAACCCAGGCCTCTTTGGCTCCAATCCCAAGATTTCTACCAAAGGGTCTGTCATGGAGCCTTAGGGAACTTTCTCATTTCCAGCCAAAGACTCATCCATCCCATTAACCCTTGCCAGCGGAGGACCCGTGTGGTCAGGTTGAAAGTGTCTTGCTTGACTTTAGGATCTCCATTCCCTGTGCTCCATCTCGGCCACAGGGAGGGGCGATCATACCACAGTTCACCAGCGACAGCGAAAACAGCCACAAACACTGGACCAGTTTCCAGAGTTGCTCACATGCATATACCTGTGTTGGCTTATTTGCTCATCTTTCACCACCCAAGTTGGCCTGACTCAATGCTGCCAGCCTTCTAGGGCAAAGGGCTTTCTGAGGTTAGGAGGAGGGTCCCTAACCAAGAGACACAGTTCATTTTCAACTGGCTTCGTTCAAAATTTGAGAGGTACCGAGTGGGGACCAAGGCTGACAGAGATAATGTCCATGCGTGATGAACACAGACCTGGGCCCACAAGCCTTGACTGATTTCTGTGAATGGGCACGAAATCGTATGTGCCGTGGAGCCAGTCAAGGAGATAAGACTCATGCTGCCTTGCTCACTGGCCTTGTGGTGCCTGTCTCCCTCAGCAGGCCCGCCATCTAGGGAACTCGGATCAACTTCTAGGTGTCTGAATACTGAGCAAATGCTGCTAGCTCCAGGACATGCATGGGCAAAGACACAGTGTAATCCAAATCTCATGCCACCCAAACACTGGAACTAAAATAACAGCACAGACCAAAATTTTGCAAAGAAACAGCAGGCAAGATTATTTTGAGCTCATCTCGGATCTACGTCAATTTGGTTAGCTAAGTCCATGTCATTTCTTTTTCATAAGTTACTTATTTTTTGAGGATGTGGGTTATGTGAGAGTGATATTTCTTATAACAGATCTGCTTTTGAATTTCCAAATGCCAAAAGAGAGTGCCAAAAATGTGACAGGGCCATAGGTTTTACGTATCATAACTGGAGGGTAGCAGCTGCACCACCTTGTTTCCATGGTGATTTGGGTTTCTGTTTTTGGACATTCTCACATCATTTCCTTATCTCACACTGCATGATACCCTCACGACAACCCAGTGAGATAGGCAAGAACTATTAAACCTACTTTAAACATAAGGCAAACGAGCCCAGGAGAGATTAAGAAACTTGCCCAAGGTCACGGGAACAGATTTCAGCTCTTCCTACTTCAGGTTCCGGCGTGATTATGGAAATTGGGAAATTGATTTTATCACAGAACATTCAGCAATAGCATTAAATCATCTATTATAAACTCTCAGGGTCAGCAAGAGTACAGACTCTTAATGCAGGTGTTGGACACCCAATACCAAAAATATCTAGGGTGCCTTTAAAATTTATTTCCTAAAATAAGTCCTAAGGATTTTTTTTCCCCGTGAAGTTACATAATTTCTGCCCAATCTAGAAAGCAAAGGACTGTTAGAACCGTATCAGGATTTCTTTCTTTTGTGTGGTGCTCTGTGCAGTGAGCGGAATCTCTGACAAGGAAACGTAGCTATCCCAACTTTGCATGACACCAAATTGATACCGACTTACTGAAGTGCTGGGTGGGGCACAAAGTGGGGAGCAGGGGGGCAGCTCAGCCAAGGAAAGTGGGGCAGCCTAAGCCTTCCATCTCTTCTGCTGCTCAGTTGCAGAGCAAAAGGAAAGAGATGAGAGAGAGAGAGAGAGAGAGAAAACAGGAAGAGAGAAAGCCACAGAGAGGAAGAAAGAGAAACCAGAGACCAATGTCCCCTTTCTGCCTTTCAACCAAGATAAAAATTAACACGCGTTAGTAACACAGGAATTGGCCTCAAAATTATTCTGTGACCAGAAGGATGGTTATTTCCCTAGACAACCCAACAGACGTGGGTGTCAACATCCAAAATGGCAGGAATATTGTAGTTCAATGGTGGTCAGGCTCTTAGAAGCTGTGCATGGGTGTGCATGGGGTTGCATCTGTTTGGACAAGAAATCTCGAGTGATTTCACTGCTAATCCAGACTTGGAGCGAGTCAACCTAGGTTAGGGAAGCCAGTCAATGGTTTGAATAACCATATCAAACCTTACATTTGCATCTGGCTTTGCCATTTACCATATGTCTTTCAAGTGCATTATTGCATCTGGTCAGCCTAATTACAGGGTTATTATGAATTGGGGCTATTCTAAGATAACGTTCTAAAGTATGAGAAAAAAATATACAATGTGTTGCAGCCCATGTGCAAAAACTGGTCTGTCTATACAAGGCCAGCAACAACTTGGCTGAGGGGACCTGCTCAAATAATCACCCAAAACGACACTGACCTTGGACAGGAAACTATAGCAGACAAAGAGGGCCACAGTATAGAAATAGCTCACCCAGGGTATTTAAGAGAAATTTTAAAAACACTTCCAAGTTAGCAGTGCACTCCACAATAAGTTAAAAATGAATTTTGGAAGTAAGAGGAAGCTTTTACTTTACTAAGAGTTGCCTTTGACCTTGGCCAAGGGCCAAAGTGCAGATGGCTGGATTTGCAGCTTAGTGCAGTGTATCTAAGTGGGAGGTCTGTAATCCTAGCTTGGATTTCCCAGGCCCTAGGTCAAAGAGGGTGTGGAAGACAGCATCTCAGAGGGCTTTATTTAAAAAAAAAAAAACAACCTCTCAACATTTCTCTAAGGAAGACCCTGGGACCTCACTAAGGTTTTGATTACAGATCTCTCCTACAATCTGCTGGAATCATCTTCTCCCACATGAGTTTTAGGAATTAGGAGGAAGTGAGGGATCGCTCGATTCATCCCCCCATCTGTTTGACTATTTGCAGACTTTGGTGTAAAATGTGGCTTCTGTTGTTTTGGGACTATGACAACACGCTTGCAATAAGTAAGTTAAGTAAATAAATAAATAGGAGTTTGTTTCTGAAAGGTTCTTAGAAAGTAACCCTGCACATCTGCTGACACATGCGCTGGGAGGGCTTCGCCTGGTATCATGAATCTTCCCAATGTCCAGGGACTGCCGAGGCCTACAGGAACAGCTGCACAGGCTAAGCTTCTGGAGAGCTCTCAGTCTTTCCCCACCCTGGGCCAGCAAACTGAAAACCTCAGAGCTTCCCAAGCCTTTTCCCAGCCAACTCCCTTCCAGATGAGGCGGGAGTTAAGGGTTCATCCTCCCTCTTGCCAAGTAGGACAGCTTTCCAGGATTCTGGGCCACTGGGAAGAACTTGTGGGGAAAGGATGTCTTTGGGTCACTGGGCCCAGAATGAGGCAGATGTAGCTCTCAATGGCCACATGACGGAAAAGCGCAGGCCTCTGGGCCACCAGCTCAATTCAACTTGGGCAGTGGGACAGGCATTGCTGGGAACACGGAAATGGATGGGCTCTAAGGAACCCGGGCAGCGATAGGGCTGCTTATGGACCTAAACTCTCCGCAGGTAGAGGAAAGGTCCAGTCCTGAAGCCAGCCTCTCAGCTATCAGCTGCTGAGTGAAAGTGTTCACTGGTTCTGGTCTGCTCAGGAAAAAGCCCAGGGGATAATGTTGAGCGAGCTGGAGAGAAAGCAGAAGCTGCCCACTGTTACTTCCCCCACCAGGGGCTCTGCCATCAGGCCATCCCAGTGCTGCGAGGTCCGAAGCCAGGGCGGGCAGCAGCGGGCGTCTGCGCGCGCTCGTGTGCATATGCGCATGCGTATGCCCGGTGGTGTGCGGTTCCAGCCAAACCCGGAGCCTTGGCAAACTGGGACCCCGGGCTGGGCCCCATGCCTCGGCGGTGTGCTCAGCAGCCATAGAACGGATGGGGAGACAGGTGGACAGCTACCCCACAGCCTCTGGCTTCTCCTGGTTGCCCTCGGCCACTCTGCAATATATATTACCTTCCCGTCCTCCCACCAGATGGATAGCAACGAGCGACGACACCCACTCTGAAAGGCTCCCTCCCTGTCACCAGTCTAATGCTGGAAGCAGCAGAGCAGCCAAAAGACCTTTGCCTTCCCTCTCAGCACAGCCACACCCCCGTGGGGACACTGGCCAGGCGCTGTCCCCTCTAAGACTCCTCCGCTGCCCTGAGCTCCAGCACTGTCTCGCCACCTCCCCGTCTGTCCTGCTCCCCCCACCTCCTCCCACTGCCCACTCAGGCAGCAGGTGAAGGAACCAAGATGCACCGCTCTTACCTGGTTGTACCGCATTCTGCTCTCTCCCCTGGAAAGAAAAGTGTACATTGATTTAATTGTTGGTTTTGTTTTCGTTTTTGTTGGTTTACTTTTGAGCGGAGAACATTCATCTTTTCCTAAAAACAAGAAACAACTAACACCTTAATTATTTGTGAAATGGGAAACCTTATTATGCCTAAGGTATGTTCTGTTGCGAAGAACTGAGTCTTATTAAATCCTCAGTGCCTCCTATTTGTAGGGCCACGTTCACATATTTTTCATTTGTTATTGTTCCTACGCATTTTTTTTTTTTTTCAGTGATTCTCAAACTACAACCTGCTGACCAGTGGCATCAGGATCTTCTGGAACTCTTGTCAAAAATGCAGATTTTTTTGGCTCTTTCCTGGATAAGGACCCAGGAATCTGCATTTTGACAGCACTCCCGGTACTCTCTTCTATGCATACCCCAGCTGGAGAGCTCACGCACTGCTTTATGTCCACAAAGGTTTACTGAGCACCTGTCATTCCCGGCACTGAAGGGTATCAGCCATAAGACACCTTCTGTTGTCACTCAACCCCGCCAAGCGCCCACCCCCAGCCCTCCTGCCTTCATCCTCAGCTGCAGACCTTCTCGCTTCCTTCACTGGAAAACAAAATCAGTAAGACAGGGTCTCTGGGTACCACCATGAGACCTACCCACCTACCTGCGCCTGCCCACTCCCCCGCTACCTCCTTTCCCGGTGCTCTGCAGGAAGCATCCTGCTTCTGCTAAAACCCAGACCCCATGCTGCAGGTCCCATGCCCTCGGCCCTTTTCAGGGGCTTTGCTTCTGCAAGTGTCTCCCCTCTCTCTAGCATCGCCAGTCTCCTCTCTTCTGGATCATTTCCATCAGCGTATCAACACGTACACTGGATACATCCAACCTGCCTTTTAAGCCTCCCCTTGATCCCATTTCTCCTCTAACTCAATCTCCATTTCTCAGTTCTCCTTTCCATCAAAACTTCCTGAAGGAGCTCTGTTTGGGGTCCCTGTTGCTTCCTCCTCTTGCCTTACCGCAGCTGGCTTTTGTCCTCACCACTCCACGGAGACTGCTCTGTGCGGCTGAACCTAATGTCTCCTCTGCTCTTACCTGACTGCTCAGCACTCGGCACTGCCTACCTCAGTTAATCATTCCCTTCTTCTTATAAAGCTTTTTCCTCTTGATTTTCATGACTCTGTACACTTTCCAGGTGTCCTTCCTGCCCTATAGGCTGTTCCTCAGTTTCTCTTGTCGTCTCCTCGTCTGTCCAAACTCTAAGCTCTAAATATTGGAATGCCCCCAGGATGCAAACTGGGCCTCCTCCACCCCCTCTAGGTGATCTCAAATGCTTGCTGAGACTTCCTAACTTTATCTCCAGATCTTACATTTCCCTGGAATTCCAGTCTCATATCCACTGACCTCTTTTTTAATTATTGAGGTATAATTTACATATCGTAAAATTCACACATTTAAAATGTATAATTCAGTGATTTTTAGTAAACATTCAAAGCTGTGCAACCATCACAACTCAATTTTAGAACATTTCCATCACATTGAAAAGATCCCTTGTGCCGATTTATAGTCACTCCCTCTTCCCATCTCCAGCCTATGGCAACCACTCATCCACTCTCTGTCTCTATAGATTTGCTTATTCTGGATATTTCATAAAAATAGAATCATACAATATGTGGTCTTTTGCATTTGGCTTCTTTCACTGAGTATAATGCTTTTGAGGTTCATCCACAGCATGATTCAGCACTTCATTATTTTTATGGTGCAGTAGAGAACCTCTAAGCCGGTGCTGTCCCATGGAAATATAATGCAAGCCACAATTTCTAGTAGCCACATATAAAAAGTAAAGAGAAACATGAAAGATTAATTTTAATGATACATTGTATTAAATCTAATATATCAAAAATATTATTTCAATATGTATCAATATAAACATTAATAAGATATATATATTACTAACTCTGAAATCTGGTGCTCGTTTTACACATCTCAATTCAGACTAGCCATGATTCAAGTGTTCAATAGATGCATGTGGCTTGTGGCCACCATATTGGACAGAACAGCTCCAGACCCTAGAATCCCATCTAGCATTCACATGAAGGGACTTTATTCAAAAAAAAAGAACTGAGCATCTATATTTCTCTATTGTTTCAGAAAACAATGCTGAATGGGGAGAAAAATGAGGGGAGGAAGAGAGTTAGAGAAGTCTGAGAATAAAACTTGGAGCGAATCAGCACGCAATTCCTTTATTCCTGACCAAAGCCACAAGCAGTGACAAGAGTGACTGCAACCGGCTGAACAGAAGCCAAAGCAGGAAAGGAGAAAAGTTAGGTAAAACAGGAAAATTTGCTCTGCTTAATTTGATTGTGTGCCTGGGGTCTGGGGCAAATTCGTACCAGACATCAACTTGAGTTAAATTTTCACGTAGATCTAAGACCCTGAGTTGAAGCTGATGGCAGCCCACTCATGAAAGCGTCAGCCAGTGGCCTGGGTTGACTATAAAGCACATCATTTCCCTTAGAGCTGTAGTCAGCTGTGCAACTCTGACTGACAAAGGGGACCTAGGAAGAGGTTCCTGCTCTACCTCCTCTTAGTTCCAGAATTGCCCACTCCCCTACATACTCACTGTGGTCCAAGCACAGTGCCCTTCTTTTATTCCTACCTCGCCACATCCCTTCCTGCCTTCACACAGGCTGTTCCCTCTGCTCCAACACTCTCTCCCCAGTTTTTCACATGGCTGACGCCTTCCCATCCTTCAGTCTCAGCTTAAACATCACCTCCCCTCGGAGGCCTCTCTGATCACCCAACCTAAAGCAGGTGCCCCAATGCTCCCCAACCCCATACACAACTATTCTCTATCTCAGCCCCAATTTTCTATTCGAGGACACTCACAGTTATAATTCTTTCCTTAATGGTTTGTTTCCTGTTTGAGGTCTCTCTTCCCCACGAGGGCAGGAACCTTGTTCGTCTTGTATATACTGGGTCCCCATGGATGGATGGACAGATGAATGGATGGCCGGTGGGGGGAAGAAAGGGGTAGGTAGGAATCAAAGGATCTGAGTCCTGGAGTGGAATGTGTCAGAACACACTCAAGACAGACCTTCCTCTGGCAACGAATCGAATTTATTCTCCTTTAGCTTTGACTCACATTCCAGACCTCAAGAACCTCTTTACCAGAAACATCTTTTGGAATACGGTGTTTCAACTTCTAACAAATAACAGAAATCAAAAATGTTCTGCCCTTTACCACCTGAGATCTCTTTGGGTTTTAAAAATACATTTTATACTTGGTGGCTCAGTCATTTTCTAGAAGGTCAGACTGTCTGGTCCCGGTGGACATTTTGCTCTGTAATGGGCTATTAAATCTTGGCCTGAAAAGGTTATGTCTCATCCTTTTTATAGACAATGCACCATTCACTCTAGAGGGGCTATAGAGTAAATTGAAAACCCACCCATATCTTAAGTGTAAAGCCTGGAGCTTACTGACTACCCAGGGCAATAAAGTAGTCAGAAATCTAAGACTCAGAGATGATAAACTAAGAATCCTCTGGCCAATAAAACGACATAGCAACAGCCAAGGGCACATAAGGGCGTGCGCTCCTGTTCCCAAGATGTGGCGGTGACAGTTGTAACAAGGAATGACAATTTGCAGGGCACCTAGAAGCATTTTGACTTGTGTGTCACGTTCAGAAATTCGCTTCTAAGTAAGGGTGACCCAAAAGACCTAGTTTCCTCCAACTTGTGGTTTCTTTGAGGTGTGCTGTCAAAAGAGTACTGGAGAGAAACTGAGGTAGTAGACATGATATTTCATTTCATTTAAAAAAAAAAAAAAGCTTTGTATCTTTTTAGTAAAAATATTCCACTTGGCCCCATATTTCTCACCTGTTTTCAAAATGACCAGCTTATCCCCCCAATATAAAATAGCTCTCAGATGACCTAAAAAGGCCATTGAGGCAGGTGTCACCCTACCCTAGCCCCACTCTTAGAAGAGCTTTCTACTGAATGGAAGAGTTCACATGTCCAGGTGGAGGGGAATCATCTGAAGATGCTCAGAAGAGTGAATTAGAAGATTTTGAGCTTTCTTTGGCCCGCTCAAGTTTTTCATGCCCCAACTTTGCCCAACGGGCAGGATCTTTATCAAACTAAGTCAGCGCAAATTCTCCCCTTTCCCCTAATGCCCTTAGAATCCACATATACCTTTATTGTGCAGAGGAGACACAAAAATGACTGAAGATTTGGTTTCAGCTTCAGTTTTTTCAGTAATTCAGTAATTTACTAACTTCAGTAATAATAATGTATCAATATTCATTAATTGTGACAAATATACCACATTCGTGTAAAATGTAGATGTTAATAATAGGGGAAATTGGATGTGGAGTATATGGGAACTGTACTATCTTATCTTTGCAACTTTTCTATAAATATAAAACTATTCTAAAACTATTCTAAAACAACTATTCTAAAAAAGTTTATTAAAATTTAAATAACTATGGAGAACAGTATGGAGGTTCCTTAAAAAACTAAAAATAGAACTACCATATGACCCAGCAATCCCACTACTGGGCATATATCCTGAGAAAACCATAATTCAAAAAGAGTCATGTACCACAATGTTCATTGCAGTTCTATTTACAATAGCCAGGACATGGAAGTAACCTAAGTGTCCATTGACAGATGAATGGATAAAGAAGATGTGGCACATATACACAATGGAATATTACTCAGCCATAAAAATAAACGAAATTGAGTTATTTGTAGTGAGGTGGATGGACCTAGAGTCTGTCATACAGAGTTAAGTAAGTCAGAAAGAGAAAAACAAATACCATATGCTAACACATATATATGGAATCTAAAAAAAAGATGGTTCTGATGAACCTAGGGGCAGAACAGCAATAAAGACACAGCAATAAAGACACAATGGAGAATGGACTTAAGGATACGGGGAGGGGGAAGGGTGAGCTGGGATGAAGTGAGAGGGTGGCATGGATATATAGACACTACCAAATGTAAAATAGCTAGCTAGTGGGAAGCAGCAGCATAGCAGAGGGAGATCAGCTCGGCGCTCTGTGACCACTTAGAGGGGTGAGATAAGGAAGGTGGGAGGGAGATACAAGAGGGAGGGGATATGGGGATATACGTATGCATATAGCTGATTCACTTTGCTATACAGTAGAAACTTAACACAAGTAACACAAGCAATTATACTCCAATAAAGATGTAAAAAAGAGAAAAAAAAACTCCTCCAGAATTGACCAGTCTAACAAGACCCACCCCAGTTATCAAAAGCAGTACAGTGGGCTTTCCTCACTGCTGGCTTATGAGAAAACAGGACTATGGAAATTCTTCTCGGTGGCTCTTTCTTAGCCTCCATTATACTTCTGAAGTTGCACTTTCATTTCTTTGTTGCTCTTCAGCTCAAAAGTCAGAAGAAGGACACATAAATCACATCTCAAAGCAAAGGCGCAGCTGAAGGCTAGATAAACTTGGAAGACCAAATGGATCACGAGTTACGCCAACCAAAACTAATTATTATTATTATTTCATTAAGGCCATTCAGGCAAGGGCAGGAATAAAAGGTTGCATGTGAGAGCGCTCACGGAGGAGCTGGAGAGAAGCACTTCCTCATCTGGGATCTTATTCTTTAAAAGAACATCTTGTTTTCTAAATCCAGGGTATCTGATTTCGAAAGTACAAGTAGCCAGCAACTCACATGGACCCACCTTTTGCTACGACTCATGAGCAGCAGCCCCCAATCCCATGACCATAAAAACCGATGCTGTGAGCCGTGGAAGCTGCCCCCGTCACACACACCCAAGCTCCTCTCGAGGACTTTCTGTCTCTCCCCTTTCCCTCTATTCTTGCTGTTCTTGTTCCTCCGTGTTACCCACACTCCTCCATGGCCCCACTCACCTGATCCAATACTGAAATGTCAGGATGGGCAGAATGTAGAGGGGCGGGACGGGGGAAACGAAGATAAAGCTCATTGCAACTCCTTCTCCCCCACTCTTCCTCTCCATCAATGAGTTTTGACAAATGTAAACACCCATGTCTAACCACCACCCAAAGCAGGACATAGAACATTTCCAGCACCTCCAAGAGCTCCCCAGCTCTCACCAGCTAGAACACACAAAACTAGTCTATGGCAATAGAAATCAGATCAGTGGTGCCTTGAGGTGGAGGACGGGGGCAGCTGACTGCAAAGAGGCACAAGCAAACTTCCGGGTGGTGGTGACAGGTGGATGTATGTGTTTGTCAAAACTGATTTCTACACATAAAATGGGTGCATTTTATGGTATATCCATTATATGTCAACAAAGTTTATTGAAAAAATTCCATTGGTATTAGTTTTAAAGTCCTGGCTATTCCTTCAAGCCCTAGTTATTCATCTTCCTTGAAGCCTTTCCAGCTCTCCTGGGCCCAAAGCGAAACCTCCCTCTCTGGACTCACAACCCTCAGAGTCTGTACTGTTCGCCTGGCAATTCAGTCAGTATTTCTGTGTGATAGTGTTATCGCTGTTTAAATTTTTATGAATTCATGTGTTGTCTCCCAGCGAGAATGTTAAGTGCCTTGGGGTTGGGAAATGGTTTCATTTTTCACCAGTTCTTCTAAAGCATGGGGCTCACAAATGCCAAGCACCTGCAGAGCCTGGCAGCCCCCTTGATAGCTGCTGAGTGGACAGGAATTAGGGACTTGTGTGGCCGGGACACAGCCACTAGAATGTGCACCCACAAGGAGAAGAGAGCGAGCCAGGGAAGGCAAGGACGTGTTGTGGACAGCGAACTCCCACCGGCAGTGACCACCAGCCCCACAGCCCAGCACAACTCTCGTCCTGTCACACTCCTTCCCCAGAACACTCCTGGGAGCCCTCTAGGCTGCTTCAAGCTGTCATCTCGGGATCTACTGGCATCATCATCTTAGAAATTCCCTTCATCTCTCTTGTACTGGCCCCCCTGTTTCCCAGACCCCATGTTTTCTTTCCTTTCAGTGGAGCACACCCTTCAGCCAACAGCCCTCTCTAAACAGAACACAAGACTATCTCTGAGTTGCCCAGCAGCTTCAGAAGCCCCAGGTCAGCTCCTCCCCTCAAAGCTGAGCCTCATACCCGGCTCCAGGGCCACCAGGACTTGCTGTAAACCATCTGTGAACTAAAAATGCCACCTGCCATATCAGTAAACAAGGGATGTTGCAGGCATCAGCCACTACAGCCACTCCCAACGGAGAGCCCTGAGGGAACTTGGGATGGAAACATAATGCCCAGGGACTTCCCTGGTGGGCCAGTGGTTGAGAATCTACTTTCCAATGCAGGGGACAGGTTCAGCCCCCAGTTGGGGAAATAAGATCCCACATGCCACAGGGCAACTAAGCCAGAGTGCCGCAACTACTGAGCCTGTGCACGCTCTAGAGCCCACGTGCCACAACCAGAGAGAAGCCCCCGTGCCGCAACAAAGAGCCCGCGTGCTGCAATGAAAGATCCCACATGCCGCAACAAAGATCCTGCGTGCCACAACAAAGATCCTGCATGCCGCAACTAAGACCCGACGTAGCCTAAATAAATAAATAAAACATAATGCCTACCAGTGAATCAACAAATACTGCAGGCACCTGCCACCTGCCCACCCCCCTCAACAAACGGTGCACCCTGAGGAAACTCAGTATGAGAAAAGACAGGATACTGGCTCCAGAGAGCTGAGGTGCATATCAAAGGAACGACTGCACTGAGCCCAGACTCTTGCATCTTCCCATATATAGAAAAGTGCCAAATTCCTTAACGTGAGATGTCTGGTTTTCTTTTATTAACAGCAATCTTTAGATGTTCTGACTACCTGGTCTCTGTTGCAAAAACTCCTATGTATCCTGGCTCCCCACCTTGCCTCTTTGGAACAGTGTCTCAGAGTTATCTGAGATGCTGTGTCCTGGGCTTAAGTCCTCAATTTTGTCCACTGAATAAAATATAACTCTCAGCTCTTAGGGTGTGCATTTTTGTTTTCAACTGACACACCCTTGACCTTGGATGGTTTCTAGTTCATGTTCTGGTGACCTTTCCATTCAACATTCATTCAGTGGCTACTGAGTGCCTGATATGAGCCAGGCACTGTTCTAGACACTAGATAAAGTGGTGGACAAAATAAGCAAGGAAGTCCCTACTCTGGTTGAAGATATGACGCTCTTGGGGGTGGGGGTGTGACCAACGACAATAAGCAGGTGAACAAATAGTATATAGGAGGATTTCACATGGTGATGAGTGAGATGAGGAAAATCAAACATAAAGAGTGTTGGGACAGAGGTGGTGATTCCTTGAGGTTGGGTGGCAGGAGGGTCTCAGGAGGAAGTGACATCTGTGCTGACAGCTGAAGGATAGGGAGCCATCCACACAGAGACATGGGGTAAGGGCATTCCAGGCAGTGGGAACAGCAGATGCAAAGGCCCTGAGGCAGGAATAAGTTGGATGAGCTTTTTCTTTTTTTTTTAACATCTTTATTGGAGTATAATTGCTTTACAATGGTGTGTTAGTTTCTGCTTTATAACAAAGTGAATCAGCTATACATATACAAATATCCCCATATCTCCTCCCTCTTGCGTCTCCCTCCCTCCCA